TTGGATAAGCTATTGCGCGTGCCTGGTTGTAGTTTGCGGGTCGGTGGACTGCGCTTGGTCGTAGCTCACCGATTCCTTTGACAGTGACCTTAGGTCATTTGGGTAGTTGTCGTATTTATCTAGCCATGCGGTTTAGGTCAGCCGGACAATTTGGTGAATTTTTGGGGCATTGTTTTGGACGGTCAGTTAAAATGATTAAACTGATCGTAGAGGGATTGGTTGTGCACGCAGAAACATAGGCGGATCCAGCCTCCTTCCCTCCCTCTTCCCTCCCTCTCCCCTCCGCTCTTTACTCCCAGGGCACAGACACCAGTGTTGCAAAAGTCCGGGTTTTATTTACACAAAACTAAAGTAACTCTAATAAGTAGCAGTGTGTTACAACTCTATTCCTAGTTTTTGCATAGTTCCACGATTGAGGGAGATCTTCCTCCAACTCCATCATCCTCCTCCAGGAGCCCCATTCTCTCCTTTTCCGTTACCCCTCCCCTCTCCCCCTCTCCCGCGCTTTCTCCAGAATTCCGTCCTGGACCCGTCTATGCGCAGAAATGGATAGGAATTTACAGTTGCCTAATTAGGTAAAGGTAGAGAGATAAGTGAAAACATTCGGAATAGCCTTGCTTGAATTACTTGCGGAACTTTTCAAATTCTGTTAAATGTAAGTATGCGGGCAAAAATCTGGCCCGGGAGCTGAACTTGATGTAGGAAAAATAAAAAAATTTAGGAAAAATCTTAAAAAAAATGGAAAGAATTGTTCTGCTATAGAATTGTTCTGCCACGAACAAATGCCTGTGGTGGTAACGTAGGGGTTAGACTTCGGGAGCCATCAGGCTCTCCGTCAGATGAGCAAATTTCGGTGCGTTTCCTGTCGTGTGTATCTCGGGATAAATTTTTATATATGTTGAATAGCACTCCGTCTAATTGCTGTTTTGCAGGGTGTTCCATTTTTGAATATTTTGGCGTTTTTCGCAGCTTTGCGCAATCTTCCATCAAAAAAAGGTTCGTTTTTTTTCCTGAAATTTGTATGAAAAGGCGCGGAGGAAGAATCATAAAACTAAGGTAATGCACAAAATGCCTATAACAATAACAACGACAAAATCGCAAATAGACGATACGGAGCTCAAGAAAGTTGACAGTTTCGTCAATCTCGACCTAGAAATGAATGTGTACAAAACTTGTCAGAGAAGGGGATTATTGCATGTTGAAAAGACATCGACGGATGCAAATGTCGCAGCATTATTAATGTCCACAAAGTGTTGAACCGGAAAGACCGTGCTCGTTTTTCGCCCATCCTGTTAAGGGCATTTTTGTGTACAGATGTGAAATTAGGATTATTGGTGAAAGCAAAAGAGCGAATGGTGCCTGTAACGGAGCAAAGAGTGCTGGGAGTGTCTGTTCGTGATTACATAAACAGTCAGACTCTCCATCAGATAAACGGTGTGTAGATTTCACTGTGATCATTTAAAGAAGGTGAAATCCAATGGACAAAGAGCATGTTGCTAGCCTTGCTAATAATCAAGTATACGTCGTCTGCTGTGGAATGTTAGCCCTCTTAAATAGCTCCAAAAAGGAGAGCTGCGACATAATACAATAGGAGAAACGTGGCTCAAGTCAGAACCTAACACTGCTGCTCCCAACCTGCCTTTAGATCCCAGGAACATCACTAACATGGGATCTGCATAGTAGCGATCCTAGCAGTCATATTTAGCCATACGGCTTTAGAAGTAAAAAAATTGAACAAAGGGAAGGAAAGGAATTTGAGTTATATAGCAGTATTCTTACTGGCTGCCTTTTTGAGGTAGTTGCAATCAAAGTTAGCTCATCATCTGGTGACCACGCTGAAGAAGTTCTAAACAAATCTGTTTCCACCACATACTTGCATTCCAGCATCTGTAATTTGCCCATTGAAACAGTAAATTTCTTCAGTATTTTTAGTCAATGAGGATATATTTGACGTTCATTTCTCTGTTTTCTTCCAGTGAGAAGTGCTGAATGTACTTTATTTCTATCATCGTAAGCGGCCATTGGTGTACATTCCCTTGAAAGGCAGATACACAGTAGATGTGCTACCAGGCTGACTCTGGATCACGATGACCGATGGTGTAGTGGTAACACATTACGTCCGAACATGAGGAGGCAGTGGTTCGATCCCCTCCCGGTCCAGCAGGGTTTTTGAGAAACGGTTTCGTTCACGACAAAAACTAGTGGGTAATGCGCAGATGGAGATAATCGTCTGGGGACTCTACTGGGATGTAGAAAACTTAAAATTTATAAAAATATTTGGAACCATCTCTTAGAAGACGACCACGATACAATAGTCCTCCTCATTCTGGAAGTATATTATCAGGAATCGGTAAGTGCATTCTCTTGTGATAATTAATACAGAAATAATTGATTGGTTACGTTTTCTTTTACTGATTGCTTTTATTTACCTTATAGATTCCGCAGATATCAGTGATATTATTCAGGCAGTATTTTGTGATAGCTCAGGCTGTGTGTTTCTACCACTTCTACCACTGTATTGCTTGCCTTAGAAAGGAACAATGATGAAGACTGAAGCTGGTGTAAGACTTTGCACATTAGCAACCTTACTGCTGTTTGGGAGGAGAAAGAGAGAGAAAGAGGAAGAGAAGTGAAGCGCGAGGTAAGATGCGAGGTGAGAAGAGCTATGATCCACTATTATTGTTGTATATTTATCAAAAACCTTCCGGCTATCTGCTCGAAATGCTTGAATTCCAGAAATTACAATGTAAAGGGTTTTTCATTTTGGATCTCCCTCACGCTCCAGTCATCCCCTTTTTCACAGATTAAATATCTAAATTTAAATTTCACGGTACTTTGATGTTGTATTTGTGTGCTGATTTTAGGGTAATGGTCTCGAGGCGGAGCAATATCGGAAGCTGTTCATCGGAGGTCTGTCGTCAGTCACAACCGATGAAACGCTCAAGACATATTTCTCGAAATGGGGTGAAATAAGAGACTGCGTTGTGATGAAAGATCCATCAACGAAGCGTTCACGCGGCTTCGGATTCATCACCTACTCCAAGCAGTCGGAAGTGAGTTTGTGATGTTTATACAATGAACTGTGCTGTCAAGAAAAAGTTTTTGAGATTGGCCGAGATGGAATAGCCGATGGGGAGGGGGAAAAGACAAAATTGTGGGCGACTTTGGATTAAATGATTCACATGGTGGCATGTGTCATACAGCTTTTTCTCCAACTACGTTCTTGCTTATTTTAAATTTAGATATTTTGTGGTTATGAAAAAAGTTGTAACAAAATAAAAAATAAAAATAAAAGTTTTACCACTACCCTTTTTACTTTTTCCAATTAAATTTTCACTTAACCTTAAATTAAAAATAATAACTGAATTGGAATGTTTCGGTCCATTAAGTCGCATACATTCCCATTCATTGCTGCAACAGGACCTCGTCAATGTGACGACTGCAGCAGAAGTATTAAAAAGAGACGAGAACTATACGCGAGAGAATGGACGCACAGAAAAGAGTTTAAGTTAAAACGAAGCATAGTGTGGATTTTCCGGCTAAGCAACTGACGACAACAACTATTCGATTGCTTTGACCAATTATACATCGCCCATTGTTTAGATTGTTGGCTCCAAAACTGCTAACTCGGGAACGAGAAAAGCTAGAAAACTGAATCTTTAGAATGGCTGTAACCTTCTCGGGATATCTTCTGATCTGTGTTGAATTTCCCAAAATTTCACCACTTCGTGACTCCGTCGCATATGCGATGAGCCGGGTTTTTTTATGAATTTTTACACTTTTAGGTCGATGCCGCGATGGCAGCGCGGCCACACACCATTGACGATAAGAAGGTGGATCCGAAACGAGCAGTACCACGTGAAAAGGCGGACCACAGTGAAGCAAAAGTTTCCACCAAACGATTGTATGTTTCGGGCATACGAGAAGACATCACCGAGCAAGTGCTCGAGGAACATTTCAGTCAGTTTGGCAAAGTTTTAAAGGTATTTTAAACATTTATTGGCACAAATTGGACGAGGGAAAGGAGGAATTAGAAAGAAGTATGTTGGAAAATACGGCATTGGCAAGGGGTACGACAGAGGTGATAAGCTAGCTGTAATGGCGAAGGCGAACAAACTGTTTGCTTTTCTTGGCGTAGTTTTTTTGTCCTGGGAAGATCGTTGTGTTTTGGGCTTGTCAAGGATTTTCTACATATTTTTATCAGTTTGATTTATTGGTGACAATGGTTCGACACTGTCGGTGGAAGAATCCATCCATTCTCGATTCATCTTTCGTTTTAATGATAATAGAAATAAAGTTATAATAAGAACGAATGAAATAAACATAAGAATGCAAAAAGAAGGTAAGAAATAAGAATTAAAAAATTAGAAAACTTGTGGGATTATTGTAATGGTAAGAAATGTTTCGGTCCATTAAAACTGCATTTTTTTCGACCGCTTGCTGAGGAATTAGAATCACAGCTCGCGTGCTGTTAAGAGGGATCCATCAGCATTCTTGCAAATAGGAGGTTGCTATTAGGCATGTGTCTTAGTAAGGTATGAGAAGAATTTTACTTTGATTTCTGGACTTCTTTTAATGAGAGTTGGGGGTAAAAAGGAGAGGTATGGCCGGAGAGGTAGGGAGGTAAAAAGGTTCTTTGATGTAAAAATAGCGAGGTAAAAAGGTTCTTATGAGTAATATTTTTTAGATGATAATTTTTCCGCCAAAAATTTTTTGCTCCACTTCGGATGGGTCGGTCGTTTTCAGAGAATTTTGATAAAAACATACTGAGAAGTGAGTGAAAGCAAAAATTTTTTGTAGGTGGATATAATTGCTGATAGAAACACTGGTAAGCCGCGTGGTTTTGCATTCATTTCGTTCGATGATTACGATTCCGTGGACAAATGTGTGCTGCAGAAGAATCATCACGTGCTCAATTATCGCTGTGATGTGAAGAAAGCACTGAGCAAGGAGGAGATTGCGAAGGTTGCATCGAAATTTTGAATTTTTTCTTCTCCACGTACTTCGGTTTGGCAGTATTATTGCACCATGCAGTTCCTGCACTGATACATGCCAGAAGTTACTATCGAATTGCTTTCAACTCATCAGATTGACCCTCAAAGCCTAAGTGGCGGAGGAGCGATAGAATACAGAAAGCAAGAACAGTATGAGAAAAGAAGGTAAGAATGAGATAAAACGTTTCGGTTCATTAAGTCATATATGCCTTAATTCAACGCCGCGACTGGGCCTTGTACGAAGGGGTCCTGTTGCAAGTAGCACTTGAAAAAGGGAGCATTTGAGGTGGAGGGAAACGAAAGTAATCGTTGCTACTGTGGCTGCTTCTGAGTTCCTCCAGTTCTCCTGGAAAATGTAGCTTAAAGGAGCTTATCATCATACCATGCATTCTTTGGCCAGTAAGATGCCTCATCGCGATTTATAATAATCTCAAAAATGTTATTATAATTAATAATCTCACAAATTTTTTAATTTTCAATTCCTTTCCTTCTTTTTTCTTTTTTTTTTTCCTCTTTGTTTAATACCTTCTTATTATAACTTTCTATTAGGAGTAACAACTTGCGGGGAATGCTCAGGCACGCATAGGAAGGATATCTCAGAACGGCTAACCTTACCATACGCGTTTCTTGGGAGAACCGTTGAGCTAGCATTCCTTTCTCAGGACACGAAACGAAGGTTAGGATCACCGGCAGGTTGATTACCATCACTGATCAGAGCAGCTGGAAATGTTACTATTTGCATAGTTGGAGAATCAGGCTATGAATTACTGTTTATGGAGATATCCGGATGTTAGATTTTAACTGTTTAAAACTGCATTTTTGCAAGATTGATCATAAATGCCTTGGAGTTGCTAACCTTAGTTAGATGTTTAGGGGATTTGAAACAGTGAAATTTATTGCATATCACTCTATTCAGTAGAAGACTACTCTTAAATCTAATGATTCAGAACTTGTTTGACTCTAATTTAAGGATTTATCCTAATCTTACTATAAAATTCCTCAAGAACTGACCTCATTCAACTTGAAAACTTGTCTCTGTCGCGATATTTACATATAATACTTTTTACTTTTACTTGCACTAGCACATACTTTTGCTAATTTTCGCATAATTTTAATATAATTAGTTCAATATAACCTATTTAAATTTGATTTACATGATTTACTTCGTCGTACTGACGAGGTCCAGTTGTAGTGGTGGTAAGAAATGTATATGACTTAATGGACCGAAACATTACCAGATTTTTTCATCATAATAATTTTACTAATTTCTTCATATTATTTGCTCCTCTCTTCTTCTTCCCACTTCAAAATACCTTTCTATTTCCAAGCAGACATGATTTGAATGTTAATTCCAGTGCCAAACTTCTACCTCGGTTCCGACTCTCGCAATTTCCTTGCAAATGAAGGATTTTAGGCGCAGCAACAGGATCGTGAACGCGTCGAAAGAATGTTTCGATCACGAGGCATGACCAGACTGGATCCGTATGACGTCGCACCAGCGGGAGTTTATGGTGGTTCAATGGGAAGTTATGGTAGCGGTCAGTGGGGTCCAGCAGGTGTGGAGATCAGTTTGTTGTGTTTGTGCATTTGTTTTGGCGATCAGCCTTTTGAGAGTGGTTGTCTGGAACCATTAAAATGCATTTTATTATTCTCAA